CCGGAATGAGGAGGCGAACATGGTCTGAAAGAACTCCGATCGCAGAAGCATTGCCCGATGACAAGGGAACAGAGTAGACATCGGTTCGCGTCTGCCAGATCCATTGGAGCGGCCGCGTTCGGCCTCAGTCGGCTCAGATGCCTCCACAATATCCTCGTCGTCCTCAGGGAGTTCATCTGCTCGGAGAAGAACATCGGCATAAATGGCATTGTCCCTGTCCCACTTGATATCGTCTGCCTTTGCTGTCTCTACCGTCACTTTATGCTTGAGCACATTCGCCCGGAACCACTCCTCTAGTTGGTCTCGTCCTTTGGCAACTTCCATGGTACGTCTCTGCCTGGCAAGTCTCCTATCTCCACTGTCGAGTATACTATCCACAAGGGTATTGATCTCTAGATGCTTGGCTATCTTGTCGATGCCCGCGAAAACTTCCGATTCCGTAAAACCGGTGCCGGGGCCGCTTCTCAAGTCGCGAGGGGCTTCTCCAAAATAGAGATATTTGATTGCTGTTCCAAAAGCCTCTGGTGGAATCGTATTTGGAAGTCTCCATGTTGACGTATCAGGGGCAGACTCCAACTTTCGATGAAAGTACGGCGACCGTGCAGCCAAAATAAACTTGTGAAGGTGTAGGGATTCATCAGCTGCCGTGACAACAATGTCTGACGTTATCGGAGTTTCACGAGTAAGGAGAGAGGTGATATGCGCGGCCAGAGGCTGAAGTGGATCCGTCGATTTCGAATAGTCATACTCCAATAACAGGTTCCGTATACGGTCGTTCAATGCATTATATAGACATCTATAGATAGTCAATTGTGAGCAATCGATATCTATGGAGTGGAAGCATTTGGATAGTAGCGTACCTCTCGCCTTGAAATGTGTCACGCTCGCATAGAGCACCGGACTCGAGGAGCAGCTGCACAACTTCGTAATGGCCGCAGAGACTCGCCTATTGCACGGTTCAGTCAGCAAGGCGGACTATTCCCATAGTTCCCACAGCGAGTCCACTTACCAGAATCAAGGGGGTGTAGTCATAGGGATCACGGGCGTTAATATTGACTCCCTCTGTGATCTTCTCTTGACAAACTTTGAGGTCCCCCTTACGACAAGCATTGCATAGCTCGCGAAACGGCTCACTAAGGTCCAGAGGATTGTCGTCTTTGATTGCCCCCTCCTTAATTAGTTTCTTCTCATTGTGCAAGCTGACCTCGAGCTGGTCCTTCCGGAGGACCTTCGGTTCTTCCGTCATCATGGCGATGCCGTCACAGTGTCCTGGAGGCGAACGTTGACAGATGCCGAAAGTCCGAAAGGCGGGACTCGAACGGCTGCCGATGCCATCATCTTATCGATAAGCCGAGATCACGTGGCGCCGCGGTTGCCACGCCCGAAAGGAGAAGGCTCCCTTGGAAGGATATGGTAGACAAACATCCATCGAATAATCACTTTCCTTGCAGATATATCATCGCTAAATCTTGTGGTGAGCATCTTGGTCAACAATATATCCACCAGAATTTTCCGATATTCCATGCAGATGAGGCCAGTGCATCCCTGTGAAGTGATGGCACCAGTGATCCACAGTGCTTACCGCCTACTGTCCGACCGCCTGCTGCATGCAGGAAAGGGCTTTGGCAGGATGCGTTGCTTAGCAACAGCCCTGCACCCAAACATCCAGCGTTTCTACCTTCTTGCATGTCTACTTCTTGAATCTACAACTCAACTACATGTGCCACTCCCACCACGTCGTCTACTAACCCAACAGGTCCCAGTCACACACCCTCGGTCCATAAATGCAATAGGACACCCCTCATCTCTCTCCTTTCACATCTCCTTCCGACTTTACCTCCATCCTCTACCTCCTTATCAGCGGCCGGATTCACCCAATAGCCACAATGGCAATTGCATTGGCGGAGGCTGATAAGTATGAGGTGCTAGAGAAGATTGGTACATTGCCTCTCGCTGGACTACTCCATTGTACCAATATACACTGGGCTAACAAGCTTGTGTTTAGGTTGCGGTTCCTTCGGGATCATTCGCAAAGTTCGGCGGAAGACAGATGGCTTTGTAAGTCTGCAAATCCCCGTTAAAATATGGCATCTTGCTTATGCACGTAATGATACAGATTCTATGCCGAAAGGAAATCAACTACATCAAGATGTCCCAGAAAGAGCGAGAGCAGCTCACGGCCGAGTTCAACATCCTAAGCTCTCTCAGACACCCAAACATCGTCGCCTACTACCATCGCGAACACCTCAAGGCGTCCCAGGACTTGTATCTCTACATGGAGTACTGCGGCGGTGGCGATCTGAGCATGGTCATCAAAAACCTCAAGAAGACGAACAAGTACGCGGAAGAGGAATTTGTGTGGCGCATCCTGTCGCAGTTGGTGACGGCTCTGTACCGTTGTCATTATGGTTCTGACCCCGTTGACGTCGGGTCAAACATACTGGGTCCTGCGCCCAAGCCATCGGGTCTCAAAGGAAAGCAAGCCCAGATGACTATCCTTCATCGTGACCTTAAGCCGGAGAACATCTTCCTCGGAAGCGACAACACGGTCAAACTGGGTGACTTTGGCCTGTCCAAACTGATGAACTCGCACGATTTCGCCTCTACTTATGTCGGAACACCATTCTACATGTCCCCCGAAATATGCGCGGCCGAGAAGTACACCTTGCGCTCCGATATCTGGGCGGTCGGCTGCATCATGTACGAGCTCTGTCAGCGGGAACCGCCTTTCAATGCCAGAACCCATATCCAACTTGTGCAGCGAATTCGTGAAGGGAAATTTGCTCCTCTACCCGACTTCTACTCGCCTGAGCTGAAGAACGTTATCGCAAACTGTCTGCGAGTTAACCCGGACCACCGTCCCGATACTGCTGCCCTCATCAATTTGCCGATCATCCGCTTGATGCGCAAAGAGAAGGAAATTACCGACTTGTCCAGGACACTCCGCAAGCGTGAAGAGAGCGCCTTGCAAAAGGTTCGGGACATTGAGCAGGCCTACGCAAAACTCGAGAAAGAAAAGCAACAAATGAAAGTTGAGCTTGAGAATACGGTGCGCCGCGAGTGGGAAGTGAAAGCCAGACTTGAAATCGATCGTCAAGTGCAGAACGAGATAGAAAAGCTCCGCAAGAGATTTGAGTGCGAAGTTCAGGAGCGAGTTGCAATTGAGGTAGAGAAGCAAAAGCGAAATATGGTTGTTCGCGAGGATTCTAGCGACGACTCCCGGCTCTCCATGAGCAACAATGACACTGAACAGCCTTCTGGTACTGATATCAGCAATCTATCACTGGAATCGCCTGCTGCGAGCAAGGCACAACGGAAGGAAACTCGCACCCCCTTCAACCGCTCAAAAACCGTGGTCGAATCGCCTATGGATGTTCAGATGGCAGAGCCTTCTCCTATCTCCATTGCATCACTCTCTTTGTCCCCGCGTCGGACCTCTGGGACCCATTCCGGCAAGAACATCTTCGCGGAGGCGGAGAAAAACCGCACGAAGTGGGAACCCACCCTGGCTTACTCTGATGACGAAGATGACATCCCCGATCTACCTTCTCCAACACGCCCCAAGGTCAAGCCTGATCCCTTCAAGGCTCCGCCCAGGCCCCTTCTCCGTCAGAACACCGCTGCTTTTATGCAGAAGCTGAGTACCCAGCCTCCCATCTTTCCCACCAATGGGTCAAGACTGCCTCAGATGTCATCTGGTGGATCTGGCGACAACCAGCAGAGGGAAGCCAAATCACGATCGCCTCACCGACGTTTGTCCAAGATCCCGTCATCAGCAAATCTGGCTGCCGACGCTGGCTCACCCACGCGCAAGACAGGCATCAAGCAATTAGCCTCAAAGGCGAACGGAGGCGGGGAGGAGATGTACAAAGCCGTCATGCAACGCAACATGGGCGGTCGAACCTTGGTTGAATTGGCACAGGCGCGTGCTGGCGGCCGTCCCATCGACGAAATCAAGCGGTGTGCGAGTGATCCCCGCACCGGGCTGAAGCCGACAGAGCGCGATTCTCCAGCTGTTTGGGATCCCGAGAGGGACGAGATGCCCAGTCCCTTCTTGGCCCGAGGCAGAAAAGTTATCCGCAATCTGAGGTGATTCCAATCGCGCTTTTCACCCGGGCGACATTCAGATATTGCCACCATTTCTCATACACATAGTAACTGCGTGCTTCTTGCTGGTTGATCCACGAGAGTAGCTGCAGTAGACTTTTGGGTATCTCCCTTGAGGACTTCTCCTCACCTCACCATATCTACTATTAATAGTCGAAACATATTCCGGAGTTACGGCTGGTGGATTATCTCCAAGACCAACGTTGGCCATGCCAGTCATGGGACGTGGATGCATTTTGTTGCGCCGCATCATCGTTAATCCTATCTCACCAAGATCTTCACTTTCCTTTGTTCTCTAATGCCGTGATGCCCCTGTTGTTTGATCTTCACTTCACTTCTCGACTTGTACAGATATTACATTTGACATCCCCCGTTTGGATTGCTATTGAAAGACACCTTGGTGATTCGACGCGATTCTGATTCAGCTTTTGATGATTCGAGCCTTTTTACCACGGCCTTTTCCCTAGATATCCTCTGCCACACTCTTTTGAACCTCACATTTCCTTTCCCCCATTCTAATGGTGTTTCACGGTTGGTGTTTATTTGGTGAATCATGGGCTACATATGGTATGGGAAGGGCTCCTGTGTACATACCAATTGGGTTTTCTCTCATAAGTTCTGCAATGGCAGACTTTGCTTTGAATTTTGTCATCTCACTCCAATATTTCACATTGGTGCATATGTCCGAAGTTAACTCGTGACCAAAAATAGCTTGTTTGGAAATTCAACTGTCGATGGACGGGTGATTCTAAAATATGATGTTTTAATTTTTCGTATCGCATCGAATTATAGTTACATTGATTTGAGATCCGACTAACGCCTCCTAAGATCCTAATCATGGGGTGACGGGTCACGGGTCAGGTCATGGTGGAAGAAAAAGAAGTGATTGATTATTATGCTTCCTCATCCTCCACCTCTTCGATCTGCACAGAGCGAAGCTCCTGATTGAACCGCCTCTCCTCCTCTTCGAGTCTGCGTTGAGCGTCGTCATCATCAGCTGGTGCAGCTGACGAAGCTTTCTCCTCGCCTTCTGCAGGTCCGGCATTATACCCTGCTTGCTCCAGCCGATCCATTTCCTCCGGTTCCAAGAGCTTGCCTTGTCCCCGTATAGCTTCCTGTTTGACCCTGACAGCTGCAGGAACGAACTTATTGATCGCCTCTTGTCGGAGATTCCTGATCTCCGGCTTGGCCTCGTACACAGTCTTCGCCTCAACGACGGGCGGTTTCGCCGGAAGAGCGTGCGGGCCCCGACCTCCACCTGCAGCCTCTCCTCCTGGCCCTCCTTTCCGATACTGTCGCGGGATAGGCGGAGGCGTATCCCTCGGCATGGGTATCCTTCTCACCTCCTCATCTGTCTCGTCGCTACTACTACTCCCGTCATCACCATCGTGCCTAAACCGGTTGCCGTCGCCACCATCTCGCCTGCGTTTGCCTAAGACTGCAGCATCCCCGCGCCCACGGTGCTGACCGCCTCGTCTAGATTCAAAGTTGTCGAATTTGGGTGCCTTATCGCCCAACGCTTCTCTGGCCTTCTGCACAGCGCGCAGATCACGTTCCAGGGCTTCCAGAAGCTCCTGATCGCGGGGTCGTAGCTTTTGTCCTGATTCTTCGAATGCTTTGAGGTCGTTGATTTGTCGTTGGATGCGCTCGGGGTTGCGACGCGCTAGTTTCTCGTTTCGTCGGGCTTGCGCTTCGGCTTTGCCTTTCTTCAGACTCTTTTGTTTGTCGAGTTTGCGTTGCGCCGCCGCCGGGTTTAAGCTGCGTTCTTTGTCTTTGGGCATGGTGGGTGATGAATTGGGGAGAGTGAGTTAAGGTGTGAGGTGGATGGATAGGGCGTCAATTACTCCACGGGGATGGGTATTGTTCCGGCTGTCTGTTTAGGCACTATGTGGGTACTAGATGATTTGATATCTTAATGTCAGTCAGTCAGATCCAATCCCACATTTCACTGTAGTTCTTTGTAATCTGGATCTTGAATTGTCGGGGATGAGAGGGGCAGGCTTGGGTATGACGAGCTCCGGAGGCTGTATGGCCATCAGGAAGCTCCTGCAGCAGACTAAGCTATGGGGAGAAAGAAAGGAAGGTGCTCACAGGCTAATAGCTAACCAAGCTGCATGGGAAAGCCAACCACGGGCGCAGCGGATTCGCGAAGCCGACTGTAGCTGCGGAACCTTGACCCAAGACCAATAATATCAAGGTCACGACAACCTAGGGCGCAAGGCTCAAGCCTCACGGGTTGGGCAGCGCAACGAGTCTTACTCTTTTCTTTTGCTGAATAACGAGGAGGCCCAGTAGTCGGCCTGAGGTATGGGGTGTGTGGATGACGGCGTCGTCGATGGCGGTTGAAGAAGCGCTTGGTGCGGCAATTCGGAGGAGATGGTTGGTGAGGTGCTTTTGTCAGCTGTACGGACGCAGAGCACAGATAGGGCCTGAGGGAAAATTGATTGGAGATTAAGAGTCGCCTCGGTAGAAGGATTCAAGTAGGATAATATGAAGGTGGTAACAAGTTGATTGGGTGCCTGAGAGGGAAGGGACGGTGGAGTGGGAGAAGAGCGTTTGGAGAAGGACGAAATGCCGTCAAAATTGCGGGCGGGCGAAGTTGAGAGAGTTTCCTTGCCTGTTTGGGGGTCACGCTCCCTTTCTTTTTCAACATTGCCGTTCGTCCAACAATCGGATGATCCTGGTTGACTCTCGTCTTCAAATGGATTGATCGATTGGTGTAGTACTATATCCTGAGTTGATTGTCCGTGCGATTGCAAGTCAAGGGAAATGGCTATATCGCATCAGCCAATCTTTCCCGTGTCGGTCAGGATATTGTTCGGTATAGAAGGTCACCCCGACTGCTGCTACTACACCAACACAAGTACCTCCTCTCCAAGATTCAGGTACCCAAGGATCAATGAGGAGAACAGGAACGTCTGTAGAATGGGATACGGTGCATAAAAAGACCCCCACGGCCTGGTCTACTCACCAACTGTCCTGAATCTTATCACTTTCATCGTTGCTTCTTCCGGTTCAACCTTGTCATTTCTGTTTCCCCTCCGAACGGGTTCCCGCACCTCCATCTTCTCTATCTACACTTTCTTCTACTAGTACAAACCTCTCTCTTCCTTGCATTCGCCCGCGACTTTTTTTGCTCGCTCCTCCTTCTCTCCTCCTCTCCTCCACATTCCAGCCAACTTCCGAGGCTGACCACTGGCCCGTCCATCTTGAATCGCTCGTGCCAGGCTCCTCCTTGAAGATCAAATCAATAGCATTGTCGCCCGTCAGTGTAACCCCCGACCGACTCACGGGGGCCACTTTCTTCGTTCCTTTTTCTCTGTCACCAACGATCCAATTATCGAGCCTCGTCCCCTCTCTGGCTTCCCTCCTTTGACTTCCAATGATACCTTAATTATTTCTCTCAACGGGATTATCATCCACTTCGGGGAACTGACAAGACTCCGCCCATTGACCGGGTTTTGATCTGTTTCCTCTTTCCCTTCTTCCCTCCCCCCCTCCATCTCATCCCACGGGTCGTGTCTATCCTTGCCTGTTTTCACCTACGACATTTCTCTCTTCCCTCCTTTTCTCCCGGCTCTTCTTATACTTCCCCTCTCAGACGCTCGTTCACGAGATCTCCCTCACCTGCGCATTTCGGTTCTCATCATGAACTTCGGTTCGTTCAATCTCCCCACCACGAGATCGACCGGCGCTTCCTAGACTGTTGTCGCGGTAGGAGCATGTCTCTGCCGGGACCAAATGTCCGTATCAGCCTCGATTCCCGACACTTCGCTTGGCCTCACCTCCTCCGAGATTCAGATTCTGAGGCAACAACAACAAATAGCGCTGCAGGGCGGCCACGGTGCCAATGGTGTTTCCAGGGGCCGAGGGACCGGACGCACCAGCAACTCCAGTTCGCGCGCCGCCAGTGCCGCCAGCAGCCACGGTCGTTTAATTCTGGATCCCATGAGCCTACGGGCGCTATCGCAGCAGTTGGATGGTTTGCAACAACAGATTCGCAATCGCCTTGATGATGTAGGTGCTACGCTTTCTTCATCATTCTCTATATACTGGTGGAGGTCCACTCCTCTGCTGTTCCGTTGTCTTCCCTTTGATATTGTCTGCTACAGTGACCCTGGCTAGCCTTGCTTCCCTTCGATACCCCTCCTGATGATGGCCCCAATATTCCGACACTAACACATAGTAGCTGGAAGAGCAAATGCAGATATCTATCCAAAGCACTTACGATCGCGCCGGCAACGTCATTCGCAACGCTGATGCTGAGATTGCCCGTACCCGTTCCATTTTAGCCTCAATTGACGACTTGGAGAATGAGCTTGCGAAGATCGGGCATATTAGAGAAATCGTGAAAGCGTATCGTGGACGTATAGAAGGTCTCGATCAACGCCTGGATCAAGCCGCCCGCCGGAGACACTGAGATGCCAACCCTCGCGATATGTTCCTGTCCACACTCCAACACATCTTATACTCCTGAACTTCAACCCTCAAACCTTTCTTTCTACTCGGACTACCCTAGCGCCATTACATAGTCACTCTGCCCCGGAGGCTTCCCTATATTCGAACTTCCTCTATCGGTTGACGACCCCACGGTTGCTTATACGCCCCGTAACTCGTCTACCCTTCACTGCGACCTCGGAGGTCGATGACGGTCATTGCAAAAGTAAAAACTATCTACAAAACGACGGACGAGCAACACTGCTCGACCGACGACCAAATATGTGTCCATAAACCAGTTGTGTCCTCGCGGACCTTGTGTTATTATAACTATGCTGCCCAACGTTCTTCATGCTGATTCTGATTCTCATCGCAGAGGCAAGGGTTGCTTCTTGCTCTTTTACCTTCGTCTGTGTATTTGGAGAGGACTGCTGTTCAAAGACCGGGATATCGGCCTCGCGGCTATTATTGGCTTCCAAAACTACCCTAAATTGCCAGGGTAATAAGGTGTTGATAGCGTTGGTATATCTCTGCATTTATCGTCTACTTGGAGTGCGACTCCCTCTCATCTCATGATTCACGTGTTCACTCTACGAAGTTGATGACGCCGCTGTTCTTCTATCATGTTTCGATTCCCCGACGAGCATATATCCTGTCTGTTTTGTTTTGACTGAGCGGAATCCATTTGCAATGATATCACCTACGCTTATGTTCGTTGAAAACTGTTATTGAATGTCAGCTGCCGAAAGCAACCTGTACCATGGCTCTGTCAATACCGGTTGACGACCTAACCATCAGGCAGCCTGAAGCATGTACCCTTTTGATCAGTCACCGCCTGATATGCCCAGGAGGATACCCGGATGTGGAAGCTTCAGCGGCAAGCGTTGTATGTAAATATATTGTCCTTCTTTCGTTGACTTTTTCAATGCATTTCTGCGCCTACAAGGCCTTGTTGATATGTGGCGGACATTTCATCTCCTGCGCCAAATACTAGCGACCTGCTTCGTATGACGCGCGCCCAGTGCGTATTCTTCTCCTGAGTTGCAGTGCCATACATTTTTACACCAGGGTACACGGAAGCCGGATTTCTGCGTAGAAGCCTCTTCACCCTCGCCCCCATCATACCGGTGGATATCATTTCCGGTCTCAAAGGCTGTAGATAGGTCAACAGCCAGGACGGATTGATCCATGAGGGTGGGCTACTTGGCATCCCCTGCATATTGAGGGTAGGTGACTGACGATGCAGGGCAGATGTAAGGTGGGATATCGGATATTCGTGATATGTGGTCAAGCACCTGCCATCACTTCATCCTTTTGCTCTTCCTTGGGCGCTTCTTTCCGACGCTCAGATAACTTCTTGCTCCGCTTGTCCGTTTGAGGGAAGCGCTTTTCCGTCCCACACGTAGAACAACAGACAACTAGAACATCCGCCCATGGCTTCTTGCGGCCGCGGCTGGCGTTTCTGATGTCCTGCGTGCAGGTTACTCCAGGAATTAAAAACGTGTCGCAGCGCTTGCAAAAAGACCTCTTGACGTCGATGGGTAGTCGGAGCTGTGACTTGAGAGAGACACCGCGCATTTGCGACATATAGACTCGAGAGAGTTGAGGCAGCCGCTTTGTCGTCGATGGGTTAATCGGCTTAGTCGAGTCATTCGCCGGTGAGACATCAGATTCCACCATTTGCGGTACTATGCGCTCCGTTTCTTGAAATTTGGCACCGTCCTCTGCTTCATCGATTTGGTCATTTTGTTGACTGACAGAGGGCTGCTGCGGGGATGGCTTCCCTATTGATTGTAGAAAGGTGGCCGCGTTGTAGAGATAATCGATCCGTGCGCGAATGTGGCTTTGCGCACCACCAGCAGAATCCTTCTTGCCCTTTGCTTTGGCTTTAGCCATGATGGAGAGGCATGTAATCAACCTGAGGTATGTGAAAAGAAATTAATTCACATGGAGGCAGCGGGGGAGTCTAAGCTTCTCGAGCAGCCGTCCGGCACTAACCCGATGCGGCAAGGAAGTTGGCCGCCGGTGACTAATGGACTCAATTCACGTGACTGGGATCTCGGAGGCTCAGCCGCTCCCATCCCTTCGCGCGTCGACAACCTTCTCTTCATCTCCATCGTCTTCCTTCGCGCTTCGACCTTTCCCATCCTCAATTCATCTCACAACAGTTACGAGGAGGATTTCGCATCGTCTTCGAACTAGATATTCGGCTTGCATAGCTTTTCACCCCCCGTTCTTATCTTAACGACATCTACCCAGGCTCGATTGCCTTGGGATAAGACGCGACAACAACAGAGTTTTCTCGAATACTTCCTTTATCAACACCATCCATCACCATGTCTCACGAAGAGGATCTCATCGACTACTCCGACGAGGAGCTTCAGACCACTGACGCGGCGGCCACCACCGCTGCCCCCGCCTCTAACGGAGAGGCTAAGAAGGGCGACTTGACGGTTTCTGGCGGCCGTCCGGACAAGAAGGGTAGTTACGTCGGTATTCATTCGACCGGTTTCCGCGACTTTTTGCTCAAAGAGGAACTCCTACGTGCCATCACCGATTGCGGTTTCGAACATCCATCGGAGGGTTAGTCTATCACGTATTCTTTCCCAAAGCTCCCTCCATTGCTCCATGTTCCAACGTCCGTCCATCTCCGCGGGGGAAAATCCATAGTCGTTCTGGGGCGCCCATCTCGCCTCCGCTTGCGGGCGGCATGAGGATGTCTGTTTCGCGTCATACACAAGACGAGTCGCCCTGCGGCAGTAGTGCATCTACAGCCTTATGCTTGTTTGCTTCACTTTACTTTGGTGAATTACGGCAACACCATGCTCAGGGGATACCACAGATTGGTTTGTTCGCCTGCAGAGATTCTGGACGAATTGTGGTTTGCTTCCGAAGAACACGGGTCGGACGCTTCTCCACCGTTCTCTGAATTGCAGCCGTCCTCCTGCCGCCTGCGGAAAGAGCTCTGAACAAGATGTCTTACTGCAGCTGACACAATTTTCGACTGTGTGCAAGTTCATTTGACTTTTGTTGTTTGGTGGAAGAACATACGGGACTATAATGCATCCCTTCGGACTCAAAACCTCGGGGATGGACGGACGCTGCGACGCGAATTGCTTTTTCTCTTTCTCAAAACTTATGGGTCGAGTACAAGTCTAACATACGGTTCCGCCTCACTACAGTCCAGCAAGTCTGCATTCCTACCGCTATTCTGAACGTCGATGTTCTCTGCCAGGCCAAGTCTGGTCTCGGAAAGACCGCGGTCTTCGTTTTGACCACCCTGCACCAGCTGGAACCGGTTCCTGGCGAGTGCTCTATCCTTGTTATGTGCCACACCCGCGAGTTGGCATACCAGATCAAGAACGAGTACGCTCGTTTCAGCAAGTACCTTCCTGATGTCAAGACTGCCGTCTTCTACGGAGGTACCCCCATCCAGAAGGACGTTGAGTTGCTCTCCAACAAGGAGTCCTACCCCAACATTGTTGTCGGTACTCCCGGTCGTCTGAATGCTTTGGTCCGCGACAAGAAGCTTTCTCTGCGCAACGTCAAGGCTTTCGTTCTCGATGAGTGTGATAAGATGCTGGACCAGATTGGTGAGTCTATTTGCGTCAGGTTGTCTTACGCTGTACTGATGATTTGTTATAGACATGCGTCGTGATGTCCAGGAGATCTTCCGTGCCACCCCTGCCGACAAGCAGGTCATGATGTTCAGTGCCACTCTTTCTCAGGATATCCGCCCCGTGTGCAAGAAGTTCATGAGGAACCCTCTTGAGGTCTACGTCGATGACGACACGAAGCTTACGCTGCACGGTCTGCAGCAATACTACATCAAGCTTAGCGAAGCGGAGAAGAACCGCAAGCTGAACGAGCTCCTGGACAACCTGGAGTTCAACCAGGTCATCATCTTCGTCAAGAGCACCCTGCGTGCGAATGAGCTGGACAAGCTGTTGCGCGAGTGCAACTTCCCCAGTATTGCAGTGCACTCCGGTGTGAGCCAGGAGGAGCGGTAAGAATACTCGTTGCACATGTAGTTCGCTATGTACTAACGGTTGGTAGTATCAAACGCTACAAGGAGTTCAAGGAATTCAACAAGCGTATCTGTGTCGCGACCGACGTGTTCGGACGTGGTATCGATATTGAGCGTATCAACCTTGCCATCAACTACGACTTGCCGGCTGATGCCGACTCCTACCTGCACCGTGTTGGTCGTGCGGGTCGTTTCGGTACCAAGGGTCTGTCGATCTCCTTCGTCAGCACCGAGGATGACGAGAAGGTGCTCAAGGATATTGAGAAGCGCTTCGAGGTTGCTCTTCCGTAAGTACAGACCGATGTTTATGAGCATGTGAACGAAGCTAATGAGTACTAGTGAATACCCCGAGGGCGGTGTTGACTCGAGCACCTACATGGCCTAGATGATTGGGCCTGTGCTCGCCGGAACAGTATGTAGCAGGAGAAATTGAGTTGAATTTTATCGCAGGTTTTTCGTCTTCGGTTTCCTTGTTTCCTTTGGCGTGATGGTTCGGTTGCTATTTAACATGTCGCTTTCTGGGAGGCACTGGTAGGGAAGGGAACATCTGGAGGATAAAAAGCGTATTAAATGATAAGGATAATAACTAGATGCCTGGGATGTGTCTTGGGCCAGTGCCTCTTAGCACGACAGTGTATTATCAAATGTTGCGATTATTTTGATTAGGAACTGCTGCTTCAGATTGTCGATTTGATGTAAGCCAGTAGCCAGTAGGTTTCTACGTGGTGTCACATACCAGCAGAATAATTCCCCCTCCATATTACAAGCAAACAAAGAAGCGTAACATCTCCAATGCAACCCAGAGAGCCCATCCACACCCGGAAACCCCACCCTATCGATAAGACCGAGCAAGCAAAGAACCCCCAAGGACTGAACCTATCTCACTCACCGACCCCGAACCCTATGACGCAACCAGCCAGCCAGCACAACTTACCCTCCCCACTACTACTCACCACCAAGTCAATCAATCCCCCCCATAAGCCTCACCCTCACTTTCTTATTCCCTTCCTACAACACAACCTATACACCCAATTTCCCCTTCCCCAATAAAAAGATTAAGAAAGAAGAAGAAGAAGAAGAAGAAGAAGAAGAAGAAGAAGAAATATGACCCCCCGGTGCTTCATAATCCGCCACGGCGAAACCTCCTGGTCCCTGAACGGCCGACACACAGGCACGACAGACCTCCCATTGACCGAAAACGGCGAGAAACGGATAAAAGCCACGGGGAAGGCGTTGGTCGGGAATGATCGGTTGATTGTGCCGAGGAAGTTGGTTCATGTGTATGCTCCTACCTATTACCATACTTCATTCGATTCTGGTTTTTGTGATGGATTGAGGAAGTGAGATACTGATGGTGTGTGTGGGTGATGATGTAGGTATGTATCGCCGCGCGCACGGGCCCAACGGACCCTCGAACTACTCGAAATCGGATGCAGGGAGAGATTACCCTGGAATGAGGCGCGGAAGTCCGAAGACGAGGAGCCGATACGTACGGAGGCGAGGGTGGAGGTTACGGAGGCCGTCAGGGAGTGGGATTATGGGGAGTATGAGGGGTTGACTAGTAAGCAGATTCGGGAGATGAGGAGGGAGAGGGGGGAGGGGGAGTGGGATATTTGGAGGGATGGGTGTCCGGGGGGAGAGTATGTTATCCTATCTATCCCTTTTCCTTTTATTATATTGATCGAGTTATGGAGTATGGTGATGGTGGTGTTGGTATTGAACAGCTAAGCTAACTGATATTGGTGCCACTAGATCCCCCGAAGACGTGATCAAGCGTCTGGACGCAGTGATCGCAGAGATCAGAGAGAAGTTCCACAAGCCCTGTTTCGACGGCGACTCTTCCACGGGCAAGGGCGATGTTCTCGTCGTGGCTCACGGTCATATCCTGCGTGCGTTTGCGATGCGCTGGACGGGGAAGCCGTTGACGGAGACGGCGCTGATTTTGGAAGCCGGTGGTGTGGGCACGCTGAGGTGAGTATACCATATACCCTCTGGGTGTTTGTTTCCTGCGCATATTGCTAACTGACTGACTCTCCCACGCCAGCTACGAGCACCATAACATCGACGAGCCGGCGATCATTCTCGGTGGAGGGTTCGTAGTCGATAGCTGAGATGGCTGACTACCTGTAGAGAATCTCATAGTTAGCAAATAGAACGAGAGAGAGAGCCAATAGAGAATAGTTAAAACACTCACTTTACCAATACCCTTGTACCAACCAATCCATAACACATCCATCCATCATAGAACATTTTCAGAGACCTCAAATATCTCCCCTCAACCCTCTCTCTTCTCCTCATCACCAGCACTATCCCCCTTAACGCCCTCCTCTCCCAACACCTTCGCAGACCCCATGAACAATGCTCCAACATACCCGCCCAGGAAACGCATATCCTCAGCCTGCACGGCTGTCATCCTGAGCAGATTCTCCGTGTCCCGGAGATTAGCGTTCAGCTGCTCCAGCTGGTTATGCAGATTGGTGTACTGGCGCGTCTTGGCCATCGACATGGAGGAGCTGCCCATGGAGGAGGAAGGGCCGGCGGTGGTGGAGGCGGGGAGGATGGAGTGTCGGGGGAGGGATTGGGAGTGGGTATATTGGTGGGAGGGCATTTTTGTTCCTTGTCGATAGTATTTTTTTGGGGGGTAAGATTGGGTTGATTGGGTGTAGTCGGTCAGGTGAGTTGTAATGGTGATGTGTTGGAGAAGGTAATGGGAGAAGCTGCAGATAGAGGGGATTTGTTTACCCCCGCGGTCCTGTAGGTCACGTGCATGTGCCTCCGGCAACAATCACAATTGCCATGGTATACTATCAAACTGTTCCATTCATCATACAAGGTATACTATTACTGATGCAACCGATTAAGTCTCGTTTATTGTCAACATGTTCTAATCAATGGAGCAGTTGCCGCGCCGACATTCCCGACGCAGTTCCTCTCACTAACACCCGGTAGGAACATGAACCCAGCCAAATCAAATCAATCAATCAACCGAATAAATCAACCCCTTGCTCTTTTTATGCGCCAGTAACCGGACCATGAATGAGAAAGATGACAGGGTGGTGGGATGTTCGCGCCAGAGCCCATACAGAACAGCACAGAACAGCTATGGAAGGAGACGACCAAGGAAATCAAGTCAAAGGAGGGCATGCGTGTCAAACAAAGCAGCGGAGATGGTAGGGAATAGACAACAGGACGATGCGCCGAGCTAGGTAGTGTACAACACTGGGTCTTGCAGAAACAAGGCATGTATGGTGTGCGTCTGGCAATGAACGTCGGTGGTATAGCTGTGGAAAGTCAAAAAAACGTATTTATCTGGTGGAGCTTCATGCTCATGCTCATTAATGTTCGAGAATGCCGTGCAACTTGAGAGGAAAAAGAGAAAAGAGATAATCAAAGTCAAGGCAAATCACCACATGCAGCAATCATGCATGCACGCACGCACGCGCCCGCCCGACCACTCCGTAGTGGAAATCATCAAACGAGAAAGTGGAAAAGTGAAAGCCCCTATGTCCCTTGGTGTATATGTAAGAAAGCCGCAAACAACAGACAATTGACATGGAGTCTGTGCCCACCCTCCTTGCCAAAGCATCTCATTAAAAGTATATCCTTTATAAGAAAGCAACAGCAATACGGGCAAGGGCGTTCCCAAAAGCATGGAAATCACCCACCCGACTGGAAAAGGGAAAAGATGGAGACATCAACGAAACCAGTCGTGTCCATAGCAGTCAGCGCCAAGGCATCTGCTCAGCGACTTCAAAAGAGAGACGAAGGAAGGACGGGCTTCGCGACTCAATGAACGGGCGCTGCAGCTGGCTGCGCGCCGAGGCTGATCTGGCTGCTATGGGCAGAGGTCTCGGAATCGAGGTTGGCACTAGCCCCGCTGTCACCACTCTCCGCGCTGGCGCTCGCACTTCCTGTCAGACTTCTATGCTTGGGAGTGCCCTGGGCGGGATACGGTTTGCTCACCCCAATTTGTTGTTCAACCTGCTGCGGACCTACCGCATTGCCATGCCCAGGAGGATGGCGAGGGACTGGCGCTCGCATGTGTCCCGGAGGCGACGGGTGGCCGCCGTTCGGAGGCCCATGAGGTGGGCCAAAGTTCTGGTCTTGGGCAGTCGCTGGGCGGCCCATTCGCGGACCAGGAGGACCACCAAAAGGAGCAGCAGGAGAATGGCTATTCCTCCTGCTTTGCGGGTACGGATGAGGAGGGTAGTCACCCATTCGGCTGGTAGTCATCGAGTTGGTCCGGGAGCCCGCAGCCATTTGGTTTCGGTCAACAGACCCGTACCGGTTCGACGAGTAAGCCATCATGGGGTTGTCTAGGAGAGAGTCATGGAGGCCAGGGATTTCCTGCATGATACGGTCACTGGCGCGCTTCCTGTTTCCTCCAAAGTAGCGGCTGAACGTCCCAGTTCTACCACCTCCGCCGCCGCCCGGGCCAGTGCTCGAAAGGAGTTCGGGATTCTTGCGAATCTGACTCGCACTGGGGAATTTCTTTGTCCTCTTTGAGGTGATACTCAGCATATCAACGTTGTCGGGGTCGATCTGGGGAACCAAGCTAGTATCCATGGGATCGAAGTAGTCATCCTCATCCTCCTCATCGAAAGCAGCCGCCTTGGAAGGCGGAGGTCTGCGGGGACCACGACGCATGTGCATCTCTTGCTCTCGAAGCTGCAACTCCCGCTGGCGAATGGCCAGCTCGCGTTCTCTCAAAGCCAGTCCAGATGGTCCGGGGCCTGGCGGGACATCCGGATAACCATTAGCACCATTTGCAGGCATACCCTGATCGCCCGCATCATCATAGACGACCAGATGACTGAACTCCTCAAGGCCCTCCAAGGACGGTTCACGAGGCATCCTAGGTCCGCCAGCCGGGGGCTGAGCGCTTGGTGGTCGCGACATTCCAGGCATCGGAGGTCCACGTCTCGGCGGGGGCATCATCATGGCGGAACTCGATCGTCCGGGGGGCGGGCGCATAGGACCATTTCTGGGGGGAGGAACCGAAGACACCCGGGGCGGAGGCTGGGCCAGTGCCGGAGGGGGAGAATCACGAGGTTTGCTCAGATTCGTGGCATTGATATGGTGCAGCATGGCATAAAGGGTCTCGATGCGTGGGAGTTTGACGTTGGACTCTGTTGCCAATTTGATGGGAGAACCGAGGTATGTCTCGATCTCCATGGGACGCCGCCCCTGAAAATCCTGGTACATAGTGTTTGGTGTCTGGATGGCTGTCATCTTTTCCATAGTCTTCTGGTTGAAGTCGCTGGGAAAAGAGCAACCGTGTGCTTTCGCCAAATCGATGAGTTCGTCGATCACGTCCGATATCAGCTGACGCACGCCGACTTTTTCTAATAATTGCTGTACATTTCCAGAATCAAACATAACACTGGCGGGGTAGAAGGCGATAGGACTAGAAATGTAGTAGTTAGCAAAAGCTCGATATCCTCGTAAGCATACAGGAGGATAATTCACCCTATAATACGCTCAAACTGTTCTTGTCTGATATTCTTCGATACTTTGCAATCCACCTGGCCCGAACTCAGAGTCATCGCTAGCGCCGCAGCCATATCGGTCTGAATGGAGGAGGGAACGTTGGAGTTCTGATTCGTGGCACCGACCCAGATTTCCGATGAGTTCAGGTGCTCAAACTCGCTGGCTCCGATCTGAGTGATTTCGACGCCTGAAACAAGCGAAAGAACGACGTTTGTCGGGAACCGTTGTTCCAGATGCGATTCGACACCGAGGGTGTTGGTTGTGTTGACCAAGATGCAGGTGTGCTGAGGGGTCACAACGGACTCTATTACCGCGGCCAGGTCGTAGACATCGGGCAGAGCCTTGACGCAGAGGATTACATAGTCGTATGCGTTCTCTCGTGATGCTGCTTCTTCGGGCGTCCGAACAACTATCGTATGACTCTAATCAGCACACGAGCGACGGACGCGTGACAAAGGGACAGAACTCACCATGACGTGGCTTGAATCGTTCATTTCCAAACGCTTTCGACCTAATCATGCCCCGTCAGAACCTTGCCATATTATGAGAATGAGCGACCAGCCATACTTGAAAGACACGCCGTATTGAGAAACTGCCTCGTAGCCCGATTTCCAGACCAGTGTCACGTCGCAGGAGGTTGTCGCCTGGAGCCTCCAGGAAAGGAACGCCGAGATGGCATTGCTGCCCACTAAACAGACCCGCGTTAGCAGACGACCCATGATGATGTCTGAATTTTAACGTAGTCTAGGAGTCTCTTGGATGGCAGCGACCGGGTGGACCAGCAAATCATCCAAGAAAAAGGGTTGTCGGGAAATGATGATAGATGGTGTGGTTTTCTGGCAGCGGCTGAGCACTAACCTGACAGAATGCGCAAGCGCGGCGGAGGAGCCATGATAGTCGATCAAAATGGGAAAGAAGCGATCCGATCAGCCAGTACGCGGTGGTTGTGGAAAAAAGCAATGGACCGTTAGACTGGAATTAGGTATCTCCTGAACCACAACTAGAGGCGCGATTGACGCTGCCTAACCACGGAACGAAGGGACGCAATCCGACGACGACTGAAGCCAGGGTTGATGTCGAGATCGATCTAATAAAGGACACACGCGAAAGGCGCCAAGGACGACGATAACGAAAGTAAGGGGAATCACAAAAGGAAGACTTGACAATAGAAAGGGAGAATCAAATAAAGACAAACGAAAGGAGGTATGGTTCAACCGTAGGAAGGGAGTGGAAAGTAAGTAAGAGAGAGAGAGGCTAGGGAGGGAGGGAGGAGGAGGAGGGGGGTGGTGGGAAGGTGAAAGGGGAAGAGGAGGAGTAGCAAGTCAGTAGGGAAGAGAGAGAGCGAAGGTAGCGAAAAAGAGAGAGAGAGAGAGAGGATAGGATGGGATGGCAGATGGCGGATGGCGGATGGTTGGAGTAAGAAGCAAGATGGAAGACGGTCAGCTTTGGGCGGAAAGGCAGCCCGAATGGGTGAGTTATGGAGCCGTGCGTATCTTTTTCTGTAATTTTTTTTTTAGCTTTCACGGTTTATCTTAATTTTTCTTTTTTTTTCTCTTTTTTTAATTTTCTATTTTTCTCTGTTGGTTTTCCAAAGTCTCTAACGGCCGTGGATCCCCCGCCAGGGCTCGATCCGGAAACGGAGGCAGGAAAAGAGGCGGACTCAGCGACAACTGTCAACGGAGAGGGGAACCCGGATTTTGCATGCGAAAGCAGAAAGTCTGTCTGATGGTCCGAAAGGAATGTCCCAAGAATATCGAGCCCCTCCAAAACGGGATGCCAATAGGACGATGAGGAAGGGAAAAGAGTGTGAGAGGGAAAGATTGCGCGACCAAAAAAAGCCCCAATAATCTCGATGGTCCTAATCGGCCACTGGGGGAGGGGATACTAATTGTAGACTAACTAATTAACGATCGGAAAGAAGAAGACCGTGTGCAATGAAATATGACTAGGATAGGTAGGATTATTATTAGTTTGACTCGGAATTATGTATGGAATTTTTGATTATTAGAAGAGTGTACTATTATAATAAGATGATTGTCCCCCTCATCAAGCCAGCCATCGGCTAGATCATTTGTACCAGACAAATTGATAGCAATAGTAACGATAATAATAATAACGACCACCACCACAACAAAAATAAAACCACTACAGCTACTAGCGAGAATGAATTGAAAGAATGAATAATGAATCGGGAGAGGGGATGGGGAGAAAAACACACACCATTTTCGCGAGGTACCTACGACTGCACCTACATTAGTTGGAAACTCCTTGTACCTGGGTTAATTTGTACACTGGGTCTAAGCCGTTCTGAGTATCGTCCACGCTTACCAGGAGATGCTACCGCGCCAGGTTGAAACCGGTTTTTCTTGTTGGTCACTCTTCCCTTCCCAGCTTATTCCACAGTAATAACCCCATGATAATGATCATCTCAATTTTTCATCAATGCTGGAGAAGGAACAATATTGATTAATCTCGTCTATATCTATTCATTTAATACACTACCGACATACTTACGTATCTGAAGAAAATACAGCATGATGTTTGGCTTCCCCTATCTGCCATTATCCCTATTAGGAGGGACTCACAATTTGACGTCTCTGATATAGAGCGACAAAAGATGCAGCAGCGACACCCCCTGAAAAAAAAAGAAGCCCATAGATAGCAAGAGTCCACTCACTCGCCGATAACAGACACAATTGCATTGGCTTGGAATAGTGCCTCTCACACACTACTACCACCACTGCCACTACCAAGCACTACTCTAAACCTAGTCTATGTCTAACCGGCACACAACTTACAAGCAAACACACACAGACCAGAAAAGAATAGATCATGACCACGACGATGATGACGACGAAAGAACAATAGACCACCAAATGACCGAACTAAAAAGATCCTGATTATGTGGATGGGAGTGATGAGACACGACAGCACCAACCCACTTGGTTCTGGTCGAGCCAACCCATGATGCAGCCAAGACCCAATCGGCCACCGCTGCACATCCTCCCGTCACCAAAACCCACCCGAAAACCCACTTCGTCTAGTGGTCGAGGTCAGGCCGGGATTCGCCCGCTGCAATCGGCCTCGGACAGATTGGTCAGTTCTGCCCTCAAGATGCTGCTGCAACCGATATGGAGCTGGGAGCGCACACCACCGTACGAATCAGCGGGTACCTTCCGGCAGCCTGGTCGCAGACCTTCTATTCTCCTCCTCTCCTCTCCTCTCTTCTTCTCCTCTTTCCCTCCTTTAGTTAGTCTCTATCTTACTATGGGGACTTATTTTCAAGTCTCAGCTCCAGCACTAAGCTGGTTCGAGTAAATAGCTAGAAACAAGGTCAAACAGGGGAAATAGATCAAGTCAATTGTCTGTCTATTCCATTTGAGTTGTCTGAAAGAATTTTCCATCATGTTCGAAAAGTTCTTTGGGGATCCGCCATGTCTTTCCCTATCCCCCCAATAGTAAGAAGAACCTGAATGAATTGCTGCTACTACTTGGAACAGATCTGGTGATCATTGGCAAATCAACCAGCCGCAGAGATAAAAATACGGAGTATGTATGCAAGTCTGTATGTCAGTTACTACTTGTGTACTGTAATTACTAAGCGACTCCCTCTCCCTAACCCCTCTTGAACGAATGGATTGGTATGACCATGACCAGCCAATACTTACTCAAGCTTGATCTCAACAAGCAGCGATACCCTTCTCCAGGAACCCCAGAATAATAACCAAGCCAAGATTTGTTTACTCCTCCTTTTATTTTATATCAATCCCTCCTCAAAAACAAGATCTTTTTTTTCTTTTTCTTTTTTTTTTTTTTTTTCCTCTCAATAATCTATAGATTGATACTACAGGCAACCAAACCCCCCCCCCCAACTCGGCAATCCAGCCATCGATCACTTACTTTCACTGTAAGTACGGAGTACTGTAAGTGACATGCAATCGATGCATAATGCGTCCCCTTCTCTCGCATTAGTTAGTGTACAGTTGCCCTCCGTCTCAGTCAGTCAGTCAAGTCACCTGGGGAAAACATTCCGCCTTGGGAAGAACAAACAACAAATTCGGGAAGGGGGGGCAGTGTTGACTGTCCAACCCGACATGCCACACCTTTTATGCGAAGTAGGGATCGACAACCTGAACCCCTCTCCCATACCAGTCGTACCTGTTTGCGGAGATGTCATGAATGCATGAAATGAAATTGAAATTGAAATTGAAATTGAATCAACGTATGGCTGCTGGCTGCCTTGTGCTTGCTTACAGTATGTAACTATTGACTAACAAAACGATTACTTAAATCTACTTATAATTTAGTAGTTATTTAGTAATTAAGTATGCTGCTTACTGGGGGAGTATACTTTACTTATATCCTAAACTTAGTATGTGTAATTAGTTCTCTCCGCTTGCTGCATGTGTGTCTGAACTCTGAACTCAGTTGTTGAGGTGAACACCTCGCCACACTGATGTCAGTCATAATATTCTGGTCTGGAGAAACGAAAGATGGAAAGGTACGTACGTTACTACTGAGCGGCGAGCCAGCGGCTTAGCTTCGGCTTACTAATAAAGTTCCAGATATGCTTATGTGAGTTCCAGAATATCCCGGCTTGGTTGGGGGGTTCCAGATTATCCCAGGAGTTACTAAGTTACGGAGTACTAGTCTAATATGTGTAATCTCCTGAGAGAAAACCTGAAACCTTCGACTCCATTCCCCTGGTGTGGCTTGTTAGATGTTTGATATTAATTGGATGTTGAGAGGATCAAATATTGATATGAGTAAATAATATTATAGACAATCATAATGGCAATGTGATGAGGCTGAGGAATTCCTCACACATCAAATTAGATACACCTTATGAACGAATGGTTATTGAGGGTGGTTAGGGAGTGTATATACATTTTTCTTTTTCCTTTTTTTTTTTTCTTTCGATGTGGATATGGGTGTGGATTCTCTTACCCCAACATGAGACAATAGAATACTAATTGTTAGCTAGCTATATTGAAATTCGCTATGGATCAGTAGTACTTGGTATTAGAGTTGATAATGTTTGGTTAATCTGATGAAGTTGATGAGAAGAGATTGAGAAAGATATGGGCAGCTGATTTTGATCTCATGATGAGCCTAGGATGCAGGCTACTGACTGACTGTATTCCTTGCTAAGACTGTGAAAATCCCTCCGGTCCAGGCCTTCTAGGGGTGATGCACCGGGGTGTCCAAAACAGTGCCAGTGGAGCAGCACACCAGCCAGTCTAGCCGGCATCTAGCTTCTGCTAGCTGGGGCACTTGGGACACACCTAGGACGAATCACATTGTTCAATTATTAGCTGCTGTTACTATCTATGGTACCGTCTGGTGGGTCGGGTACTTATCAAATCTTACCGAAACAGGGCAATTTTTCTTTTTTATTTCTTTTCTGTTTTTCCCCTGGAATCATCGTGAATGGTGGTCGCGTCAGTTTAACTTTCGGTTTCTGCTCGCGCGGGTAAAGAGAAGTCCTCCTGGCGTGAAAGTTTTGAATAGATTTCTCAGTCATCCTTCCAGTAGTACTACTGGATCTGATTGCTTTGCTTCAGAACTTTGAATGTTCACGGTTGAGACATTACATTTTCTTCAGTCTGCTAAGCTTAGAGTTTTGGCAGATGATGATTGGTATGCATTCAGCAGGAGGCATCGACTCATTAGTAATTTGATCTTCGGGGCCTAGATCTGCCCGTTGCTGGACCATGCGTGCAATCCGCCAACCAGCAACCTTCTTGTCTCGATTTCTGCAGGATCTTGAGTATGTTCGACTCAGACTTCGTAGTAGTACATACCACAACTGCCCGTCCAGATCGATCAGAAAGTATGGCGGTTGCGCGGGTGCTCACACACTGAACCCGCTGGCTGCAAGCATCTTACTATCCCAGCAGATTCGATTTAGTAGTGTCTTACCCGCGCAGTCTTACCCCGCCATTGTCCATATTCATTCGAGTCACCTTGGCTGTCTGAAATTTTCGGCGTTGCCAGTAAGACAGAAAGAGGTCTTTAATTGCAACTACTGCAATATCTACTTCGTAGTACTTTCGTGTGGTCTTTCTGACCCAGGACAAACCGACGAGGAGTCTGTACATCATTGTGTATGTTAGCCCCAATGGATGATTTCATCCAGAGTTCGACGCACAATGCAAGATCAGAAGGGTCAAGAGGAGAAACACCTATGGGGCCTACCCGCGACAGATGTAACCATGTAAGTAGCACAGCCCCCTCATCTTGAAAATTTGACCGGAAACAGCCACTCGGCATTCCCGAGGCTGTACGCGGGGGCAGTTTCATTCAACCTTGCATCTGTGATCTTGGCTCAGTGGCGGAGATCCAGCCAGGCGCATCGCGAACATTACTGTACTGTTCACGGTACAGTCAAGTGGACGCCGGATGGCCCCATTATTGTGCGGAGTCATGCTAAAGCTTCCAAGGGTCTAAGATGTCCGAGTATCCAAACTGCTCAGTTCTTGTTGTAGTTTATGTAGTTTGTTATCGCCAAGAATACGCCAGTCCATAGCCTACAATATATCGGAGTCGCGCACGTCTAGTCTCTGACGGTTGGTCGCCTAGTGATCTAGCACCTTTCTCCGTCGGCCCCTTAGAAATGGCCGCTATATTAGTCGTTATGCCGCTACTGCGCGCATTGCCTCTGGAGCGTAGAGGCTAAAGCAATGGTTCGTTGAGAACAAGCTAATGTAGCAAGCGGTTAGTGCGGTGGTGCGTGTTGACACGAGTGGCCTGCTATTCTCCTGTTCATCTCTAGGAACTTTCTTTTTGCGGCGATCGGCCCTGGTGTGTCACGTTCCCTGCGGGTTTGAACACGAGCAACATGGAAAACATGTGCGAGGTAACATCAAACATCTAGCGTTTTTGAACCCACCAGTCTCAAGAACTGCCGTGTCAGAATTGGTCACCCCAGATTTTATTTGATGAGGGCCTGTTCATCCAGGGGACAAAGGCATACCCAAATTTGTGGATGTTCCCAAGTAAAAAGCATTGATAAAATCCCTACTTGTCATCCGAATCCTTCGTGCATAAGGAGTAATATAGGCGAAGGCAATCGTAAGATAGCAATAGTACTTTGTAGCCTGATGTGCAGTGCCCACTACCTGAAGTCTAGTCAATTAGTGCGAGCATATACTTTGTAAACGTCATGGTCATGTCAATCTCCGTCGAGGCCCCGCAAGACATAAAGGTCGTGATGATCGTCGGTCTCTGCACGATGCTCACCCACTCGATGAGCAGGATTTTCGACACGGGGTATTCTAAGCAAGGTTGATGTGCTGCTTAGCAAGCACAGTACGGAGACACATGGTAGCAACTTTCTGGGTAGTGTAGGTCCAATTCGGCCCACCTAACGGAGTGCGTGGTATATCTCCGTAAGTCCGAACTAGCTTCACATTCGGACACTGAGAGCGGGCAGGACGTCAATCAGACCCATGGCGAGGCAAGCGACCAGGTATATTTGGGAGGAGGGGGGGAGCAACGAAGGCGTCCGCAACCTGCATCCATCGATTCCGTATCAAGAAGAAAGCAACTAAAAGCAATCAATTCGAGGAAGGTCTAAGAGACAAATAATATGCGGAAGCCGGGATGGCAAGAAAAGCGCAAAGTGGAGCCTCGATGCAAACAGCGGCTGCCCACTGACTCAGCGGATGTGCGTAAAAGGCAAACCGATGCCTGCATTTCCGGGCCTCCTTCGGCCGCCCATACGAGGATTTTCGGCGCTGCAGAACATCCCAAGGTCTAATTAATCAATAACTCAATCGGCGGGTGCGAAACTATGCATGCCGTACCTACATAGTACATGCAGACACGAGGAACCAGAAAAAAGGCGACCGGAGAATAAAAAAAAGCAAAGATGAGCGGGTGTAGATGGAAAGCTCTCAATCTCCGTGAGGAACGGCGCGTTATCTGTCCACTACCTTCAGGTCAGCAAGGGCCCCTAAGTTTTAACTAACTAGCAGTAGGCTCCTTTAACTAACTAGTTAGTAGACTTAGTCCAAGTTGGTCAGCTCTCATATTTAGGCTGCATTGATAGTACAATAGTCAGTTCATTGGTTCTGTTGCCTACTGCATAATCTGCCTAAACATGCGAGGCGTCAATGAAAGGATGCAGATAGGCCAGAGGTTGAAGATAACCCTCTAATTTAGCGCGAAAAGGGTCGTACTTCTTGATCAGTCCCCTTTGGCGACAGGGTAGTTGCTATCTAAGCTATCTCGAAAGCAATGCTTCAAGGAGATACGTATAGTAGATGGCATGAGCACAAAGGATTGTCACATGACGCATAGTAGTCGATGACTAATATTATGTGTGCACGCGATGGAGGGGAATTCGACATCAAAAAGTATACCACTGAGGGGCATCTGTTGGTGTCTGAAATTGCATGTACTAGAGGCAACTTACACATCAGCGCCTATACAAGAGTATTTCACAGTAGAACGAATCAAGGTCTCTGCCATTTCCCCCGCAATGAATCCACTGACTAATCGGAGACCAATGGCAGAATTCTTCAAGATGAATATCAATCTCTTGTAAAGAAGACACACTCCTACTAGAGTGGATATAGAGCCAGTCATCTGCATCTGTGTCAAGGAGCAGTATTTTCGAATCAGCCAATCATATCAATTTAAGCCATATATACCCCTCAACTACAAGACAATGACTGGAAACAAAAGAAAGAATCCGCGAGACTTGACCCGTCTCTCCGGCAAACCACTTGCTGAGACTCTCGAGCCCTCTTCAGTACTGGCAAGCAGCACCGAAGAATGGGTCACATCTCAAGACCTGGCTGAGTATGGCCTCACCTTTAAGCCAGAGGTCATCCAAGATATGACTCTCTTTCTCCTGGCCAACCCCAACATGAGCTCCACCCATCTATACCGGGCAGACATCCTCTTCGACAGCTGGGGTTCACTGCGGACACCGCAACAGAAAGAGCAGTCCTTCGCTCAGGATGGCAACAGCAATCTGGAGACCACCGAGGAGCACATGGAACCCATGACCGCAAGGGAAATTCCCAATTTCACTCTCACCAGAACGGTAGTGAGGAGACTCATCCCCAGAAACCCGAACCTAGACAGAGTCATGGACCAAACATGTCACTTCTACGAACCCATCAACGAGTCCACAGACGCCAACGAGGGATCTATCAACCGCTACCTCGCTGTCTATACCCCCCACATCACCTCCAAAGAAGACATGCCCTTCTACCACCCTCTCCTCCGTTCCCTGGCCTTCCTATACGACTACAACACCAACACATCAGACCCCTCCCCCAACCCCGGCACCATGTCCATCCACTTCCTCCTCTTCCCCAACGAACCCATCCAAAACCGTCTAGAGCGCACCCTACAAGCCCTCCTGACCATCCAAATCCGCCTCGCCCGCGGCACCCGTCTAACCGGCAAACCAGACAACGGCGGCGGCGGCAGCCAAAACCCAGTCAAAGACAACGTGATCCCACAGCACCTCGTGCAAAACACCTATACACGGCTGAAAGCAAAATACGCCGCCGAGCTGTGCCAAAATTGGGTCGAGAGCACCGAACCCTCCAAGCACGTTTTTGAGGACCTCTCAATCACCGCATTCCTCATCGAACTCTGGAGGAGCATGTACGGCGCTGTCCCAGCGGACGAGCAAACCTCCACCAACTCCCCATCTACCTTCCCCGGCTTCGTCGACGTAGCCTGCGGCAACGGCGTCCTCGTGTACGTCCTCCTCATGGAAGGTTACAAAGGCTGGGGCTTCGACGCCCGCCGACGCAAAACATGGAGTATATTTCCAGAGTCCGTGCAATCACGACTCACGGAGGAAATCTACATCCCCAAACCATTCTCCGAAACGAACCCCTCTCTGCTCCAAGAGCTGACGATAAGATCCCACACGGGGTCTTTTCCAAAGGACACATTCATTATCTCCAATCACGCAGATGAACTCACCGTCTGGACGCCCCTCATGGCTACGCTTCTTTGTCCCGAGTCGCCGTCCCCTTTTATTGCTATCCCGTGCTGCTCGCATTCGCTTTCTGGTGCGAGGTTCCGGTATCCGCCTCCTAAGGCGGGCAAGAAGAGTAAATTAAACGAGGAAGATAAAGGAGGGGAAGAAGAAGAAGAGGGTAATCCAGCATCAGGAGACCTCAAATCCCTCCGGAAGGAGAAACAGGATGCTCAGACTACGGAAGCAGGGTTCCTTAAGTCCATGTATGGATCGTTGACTGCGAAGACGATGAGTGTTGCGGAGGAAATCGGGTACGAGGTTGAGCGGACCCTGTTGCGGATTCCGAGTACGAGGAATATGGCTGTAATTGGGGGGAGGAGGCGGACGACGCAGGTGTGGAAGGGGAGGGCGAGTGGGTCTGCTGCTGCTGCTGATGGTGGTGATGGTGATGGTAATGGAGAGGAGGTCTTGGAGCGGGTTATGGATGCTGTAAGGCGGGAGTGTTCGCGTGAGGGGGGCGTTGAGGCTGCTGGGAAGATCTGGATTGAGAGGGCGAAGGGGTTGAACAAGGGGTCTGGGATGGGGAAGCAGGGTGGGCATTGAACATGCTTGTTGTGTTGTGAAAAGAAAGGAAAGAGAGGATGTTTGGAGATGAGATACCCCGTGAGCTGTTACTGAGGAATGCAAATTAGATAGAGATTTTGTGTATGTACATGGAAGAGAAAGGACATGATGATGATGTTGATTGTTGTTAATGTACATATGTATGTAACATTGTCGGTGTCTGAATCGACATCTATCGTCTATAGACACATTACAGAGCACATTTAGCTCCCATGAAATAAAGAAACCCATGAGTGAGTTGAGTGTGGTATGTATACCAAGCTAGATACAGACCCTCCCGTGAAATGAAGGACAGTACTAGCTGAAGAGAAAAATAGTCCCAAAAATAAGACAATATCAAAATTCAGTCCGCAAGCCGAACTCCTCCCATGCGATTCTATAAGCTCTAGCGGAAGAACTTCGTGCTCGACTTCCAGGAGAATCCTGCCTGAGCCATGGAACCATTGCAGGGATGATGGTCAGGACAGGATTGGAAGGGGTAGAGCAGAGAGTGGGTCAATTGTGACAGTGGCCGTGCTCTGTGAGCTCTCACTGATTGTTCGGTGCATAAAGATGTGATTTAAGAACTTTCTGACTGCTTGGTAGCGTCTCCAGATGGTGTTGGAGGCACATTAGCAGCCTTCAGGGTTGCAGATCGGGCTGCAGCTGCAGCTGCATTGTCTTTAATACGCTTGATCCTCTCCACGCGTCCTTCACCGGGAAGACTGCCCCAGACAGGCTCGACGGTATCCGCGCGCCAATTTGGCCGGTGGCTGGCGAGTGCACCACCTCTGGTAGGCAGAGAGACCATGGATGCGCCGCCGACGCCAGATTCGCCCCACATGCGGACGCGCTGGAGCTTGCGCAGTTTGGCGAGCCCATAAGCACAGACAACGATTGTAATGGCAAAGCATGTGACGGACACGGCGCCAAAGCCCAAGTCTGATTCTTCGATGAAGTTCTTCAAGTTCATTCCGTAAAGTGCGGAGAACAGGGTTCCGGTTGCGAGTCCGAGAGTTCCAATGCTGAATTTGAGGTCGAGAAGCATGAGGGAGTTGCGATTGGCATCCAGGATGGCTTTGACGCTGTATTTAAGTCAGTATCAGTTACGCAGTAACTTGAGACAATGTGGATGACTTACACTTCCTCAGTATTGCGAATTCCGGTCACTAAGTTGCCGCTGGCCTGCACAATTTCGTCGCAAACTTTGTGGTATGATTCCAGTAGCATCTCGACTTCTTGATGTTCGTGTTCCTCGCGTCGGACACCCTGCGAGTTCTCGGTAAGATACATTGCGGCCAAGTCGTCGTCTGCCTCCAGCAAGTCGTCGATGGCATCACGCACGAGGCGAGCCTTTTGTTCGAACGTGCCGAGCTTCTTAGAGTAAATAAGCAGATGTCGGAGCTTGTCGCGGTCGATGTCCTCTTCCAGAGCTCTGAGCACGCTCACGACCGGATCTCTAACACCATTGAATTCCTCCTCCAGGCCACTTGTGACACTGATCAAGACCGCTTCCAGCGCTCGGAATTCGTAAGGCAATGCACCCGTAGTCTGTCCTTGTTTCTGTTGTAGCTTTCCTTCGAGATCATACACGAATAGCGATTGCATGTATGAGTCCGTGGATCCGTACGCATCGAAAACGAGAACACGATCAGCCTTGATCAAGACTCGAAGGTGTAGGAGGTTGATGAGAATGGCGCGCGGTCGCACTAGGATATGAGGCAGAGTAGACGAGTCGATTTTCCGCAAGTCCCGAGGTAGGAGACCATACTATGCTTGAATCAGTCTTGTGTCGCTTCTTGATTTATAAAACAATTCGTAGAGCCGCCGATACTGACCTTGGCAATCAGCTCACTCTTCTTGAATTCGCCATTTACAAGAGTAACATTTCCAGTGCTGTCGAACTCGGTACATCGAAGGCGCGGCTCATTAGATGCCTTTGCCACTAATCCGCGGCCAATATTGAAGCTTCCCTCTGTTCCGTCATTGATTAATGCAGGTGGCTGGCGGAGATATGATTTGGATTCGGCAGCTTTGTTTCGCTTGAAGTCAAAGAGCCTACGCCACAAGCTCTTGCTCTTGGTGGATGAAGCGCGTGAAAACTGCGCATTAGGGAGGGAAAATGGACTCGGTGAAGAGCGTTGAGCCAGCGACGCCCGACATCGTACAGTACCGCGAGTTCTAGACGAAAGGCCGGGTAAGGGTAAGAGGCATGACTCTAGGCTCGCACGGCATGGTGCAGGGTTTAAATTTGTCCAGTCCGACGTCCTGCTCAGCGAGAAGGCGTGATGCCGATGATAAGACTGAGGATCGTTATTGAGAGACCGTCCGCAAGTAGTTGGGTTGGCTGTGAAGAAAAAGGAATCGGATTGTGATCGCAGAAACCGGAGAAGAGATGCCGATGGAGCGGAAGGCTTCATAGACGACGGAGACAGCATCTCTGCCTTGTACTATGGCTTCATCGACCAGAATGACGACCAGCACTCATCTGGATGCAAAACAAACCATATCATCGCCCATCTTTTTTCCCGCATCCAAGTTGCGCCGCTCGGACCAACGATAATCCGGCAGCGCTCGATAGTCCGGATTTGCCAGTAATTCCCTCGCTTTTCCCATGATTGTTTGATCATTGTATCTTGGAAAAGTGTATGATGAATATTGTGGCTGACTTTAACATACTACTTTGCTAGGAATACATTACTGTCATACGAACAGTCTAAAAGTCCATCGGATAATCTTGGTCTACAGTATGGTGAAGCCATATACATCCTTACGAGGATGATCGGCAGAGCTCATACCAGATATAACAAAGCCCTTCATGTAAAACTCTCAGAAAAAAAGCTTGCGTTTTCTAGTTGCAAATATCAATGACTGGTTAAAGACCCTTTTGCTTGAAGGTCTCATTGGATTGATATTACACAGGACATAACAACTGAACACGAACTTACTCTTTCTTCGTCACGTTTCACAGCCAGCCTCGCTACTGATATGCAATCTCTCCCTCGTTAACTATATTCCCTGTTCCACTTGCTATAAGATACACGACAGCGCTAGACTAATACATGCCGAGTCTTTAAAGTAAGTCTCCATTTCGACAATTGTCACATGAAGCTTATCTAATTGAGCTTGGTCTTTTCTAGAAGGCCCCACTTTGGCACCAGATCGGAAAGGCCAAAAGCTCGAACCATTGGTTACTTTCTTTGAGCCGCAGGGATGCCCCACCAGGCATTGCATTAGCAAGGTACCAGACCAAGTGGTCAAGTCTAGGGCCCTGAGAATGAGTGTAGTCAATCCTAGTAGGATGTTGATCACCTCTCTTAATATTTACTGTCGGTAGGGCGGGCTACGCTAGGAAATGCTCATATCACTGAGAATACTCATCTTGTAATAATGACCTACTAGCGTCTGAGGTCCAAGTTCCCAAATACACAAGCATTGTGTTTCCATTCATGAGACTAGGGAATTGGATCCGCTGTCAGACAGCTCCAATCTCCAGTGCATACTTTTGATCACCTGCAGGAAATGCTGACTAGAAAGAAAAACCAGACATTCACCTCCACGCACCGGATGGGAATATATGCTAAGAACAGGAAAGGATAAAGAGGCTGCACGACGGAGGTATCACACAAAATCCAACAAGTCTAAGCCACGGCAACAACACGGATGTTAGGAAAAATGAGAGTACCTTCAAGCAAGGATCACCAATCGTCATCGTCCTCCTTCTCGTCATCTATAGTTCACATTAGTACGCGTATCAATTACCATCTGGGGGTGTCTACTTACCGCTACCGCTGACCTTCTGCTTTCTCTTCGCCAGAGCGTCTTGCAAGGCACCTGCCAGGCCTCCTTGAGCAGCACCACCACTTGGGGTTGGCGCGGACGATTCGCTGGCTGAGCCAGGCACAAGGGCTCCACTCCGGTCACGCTTCTCAGTATCCTTGACCTTCCGCAGGCCACCGCCGCCCTTTCCTCCAGATGCCCGGATAGCAGCCATGAGGTCATTCCTACCACCTTCGGGTTTAGGTAAGGACGGAGCAGCTCCACCTGGAGGAGGCGGGGGCGGAGGCGCACCAGCTCCAGGAGGCGGAGGCGGCGGTGGAGGAGCACCAGCTCCTGGACATGGAGGAGGTGGTGGTGGGATTGTACTGCCTGGTGCTGGCGGAGGCGGAGGGGGTGGAGGTGGGACCGAGCTGGTAGGTGGTGGTGGGGGCGGAGGCGGCGCAGGAGGTCCGGCGCTAGGCGAAGGATGCGATGGCGGGGGTGGAGGCGGGGGAGGAGCACTTGAAACTGGCGGAGGGCGAGGCGGAGGGGGAACACTCGACGTAGGAGGCGGGGGTGGAGGAGGAGGCACGCTTGATGTAGGCGGGGGAGGAATAGGCCGGGAAGCGGAAGGCACAGGTGGGGGTGGCGGCTGCAAAGGACTTCTGGGTGGCGGAGGTGGAGGCCCCGCTGCAGAGGCATTGGGGACTTTGGGAGGTAGCTGTGGAGGTGCTGCAGGGCTCATAGTGCGTGGAGGAGGAGGGGGTGGCCCTGAAGGCCCTGGCCGACTGGGAGGTGCGGGAGGGGCAGACACCTTGCGCTCGCCCTGGAACGGCGGGGGAACGCCAAAGCGGGACTGGTTCTCATCCATTGGAGTCTTTGGAGGCCGTGGAGGAGGTGGAGGACCGGGTGTAGCATTTGACGAGGCCCGTTGGCGAGTAGGCGGCAATGGTGTGTGAGCAAATTTACCAGCATCCGCAATCGGAGGCGGCGCACGAAACCGATTCCTGGGAGGAGACGGTTCACGTTTCGAGGCAGGCTCGTCATCCGTCGTATCCATTCGAGTCCTCCGCGTCGGGGGAGGGGGCGGCGGAGCACCTCGTCGACTCCCTGTGCTGTTGCCAGTGTTCTGTGGGCTGATGGCAGCCACCTTCGGAGCAGGCGGCGCAGACGGGGGAGGTGGAGGCGGCGCCTTGCCTTTCCTTTGGTCATCGGCAGAAGGCGGGCTGGGCGTTGATGCTTGTTTCTGTTCGATATAAGACTTGATAAAATCGAAGTTCTCCGCGATCATGTCTTCGTTAATGCCCATTTGTAGGAGCTCGTCCAGTACGCCCTTGAATGCGGGGTCATTGGTGTCGAACGGCAGTTCCTTGCGTGATGGGCTGGCTGAAGGGGGAGGCGGAGGAGCTACTTGGATAGATGGAGCAGGAGGCAGTTCCGCAGGTGTCACCGGCGGGGGTACATGAGATCCTGATGACGAGCGATGGCCGAGTAAGCTGCCAAACAGCGACCGCCCAACCCCGGATTTGCCGTTGACCACCGGAGCAGGGCCCTGTCCTCGGGTAGAGGCAAAAGGCGTCTGCCGTGTCTCTTTGCTCGCATGCTTTTCTCGTTCCTGTACTTTCTTGATAAATGTCTTGGCCTCTTTCTCGTCGGCGAACGACAGTCCGGCGGGACAGTCTTCTAGTTCGAAGGAGTGGAAGAACGTGCGATCTTGGTTGTACGCGAAATTGTCGTAGATCTCTTGGTCCCAGATGACGCCCCTGTTGGCAGGCTAAATCACAGAACGGTGTTTTTCGTCAGTAACCGTCACAGTGGGTGGGTGATTTACCAGGCTGTACTCACCGATACGTCCACCAATTTCAGCCAAAATGTTCGGCCGACCAGGTCATTTGCGAGGACTGCAGCTCCCTGCAGACCAGTGTACGTCCATCTCTGGGTGTCTGGGTGAGCCACGTAGAGGCGCGCAACGGCCACCGCTAGAATTTTGTTGTCAGGCTTTGGTACAGTTCTCCTGACTGTTTCCTTGTCGTTATCGTTCAGGATTGAAGGCATAACGATGGATCGACACGCGAAGACACTGTATTAGTAGCTTGGGGGTTATGACCGGTGAGATAGAGGTGATTAGATTGCCTGCTGGAGGCGCATTGCAGGGTGTCTGGTGTAACTTGGTGAGCCCGAAGTACCAGAGGGTGGTTGCTCCTTAGGCACGGATAAGAGCTGATACGGCGCGGCAACAACGGATGTGTCTGAGACAAAGGGGGGTAGTTCGGAATTCCCAGGATTTGTGGGGTAGATGGGTGATTGAAGGGCAGCCCTAGGAACGCGAAAGAAAGGAACGAATACTAGTTAGGCTCTATCTAGAACAGAAAGGCCGTTAGAGTGTAGGATTGGTGGCCGAGCAAGTCTGGCTTTGGGGGAGGGGAGGAGGGAGAAGAGGTCAAGTAGCCGGAAGAGGAGCGTTGGCGGGAGAGAGCGACGGAGAGCCACTAAAGTCCACTAACGCCGCGGTGGGGATCCCGACGTCTCTGGAAGCAGCTGGCGCTCACTCAGCACTACAACTCTGACAGTCCCCTGAGTTATAAATGATTGTTCAAGTGTTTGTATTGTTATGAAGCACTAGAACATGCGAAATTAATTGACTCAAGGATTGTACTTCTTAAGCAAGAAAACTCGCAATTTTCCCCATTCCACAATGGTCTCGTGCGGCATCATCAAAAGACCAACAAGGGTGTCTGCATGCGACCCATATAATAACCATGATGGCATTTCTGGATTAGGCAGACATGCAAGATCCAAGGGAATCGCCTTTGACAGCATCTTATTAGTTGATCTTACCGGATCACCACCAACCATGTGAATGAAGAAATGACTGCATTGCCTCAATGGCGCGCTTCTTACTAGTACTATACTAGTAGTACTATGGTGGTACTTCCAGCCCAACCGACGTCATCGCATGTGCTGCAACTCAAAAGAACTACTTAAGGATATAGAAAGCTTACCTTCCCCGATCACTATCCTCGCTGCTATCACTAGCCTGCACTCTTCTTTCTACAGCATAAGCTCGCTGTTTCTTCCTCTCGTACTCACTACCTTCGATCATTGACCAGTTACTCCTCAAGATGCCTGTCATCCCCTCGGGTTCTGATTTCCCAGCCCAACAAGGCAACAGCGACAACAACGCTCCAAACCAAGAGCAGAGGAACTCTGATCAGGGAACTCAGAAAGCCACTATGCTTGATCACTTGTCCAAGGGTCCTCAAATCCCCGACAGTAAGTCAAGCGTTCTGCTTTTATCCCCACAACCCCTCCACATTATGGCGGTTCACTAAATTAGTATATAGGCATGCCACCCAAAGTCCCAAGGGAAGAGATCGAGGCACGCATGAAGGAATTGAATAAATAAAGGAACAAATCCTACAATATTAGTTGGGGTGTACGGTTGCTGTAATTTTATGAAGCAATGTTAAATCAATGATGTTATGCCTGTGCTCCGGTCTTCATAAGTTGTACTAGTAATCGCCCGAATATAAACGGCTAAGATTTTATACTATTGTTCCAATACACAATCTTGGAGATTTCATGATTTCAACACCACAATTACTGGCATAAATATTTGGGATAATCATGATAAAACTCCCTGTTTCCTGCACGAAGAATCGCTCTCCGTAAATTGTGCCACGCAGTAGTGGTTGCTGCTGGTGCCCCCAAAAGCGTCATTACATCATACCCACGTGATCACGCGCTCGCTTTGGTCGCTCTCATCGCGAAGGAAGATGACTTCCTCGCGTCAAGAGGCTCCTCATGCCACCTGAACGCCCCAATGTACCGGTGAAGCTGTCCTTGCCCTTGGTGAGTACTTTACGGTTTTACATTGTGTGCTCAACGCAAGACATCTATGAGTTTGCTGACAGAATCAATTCCAGCAATACCAGCAGGACATCTTCACCGAACTGCGCTCGGAGGATGAGTTGGTGATCCTTGCTCGGGGCCTTGGCCTCTTACGCCTGGTGACGAATTTGCTACATTTTTATGATGCTGCAGGGAACAATTTGGTGCTTGTTGTTGGCGCAGATGACCGCGAAAATGAATGGATTGGAGAAGGTACGTTGCTGCGTCTCGGACAGTTTACTGGTGGGTTATGTTGAAGCATAATGATGCTGATCTCTGTCAGCATTGGCTGAGCACTATGCTATCAGCAAAACCCCTCTTGCCAGGGGGCTCAAGGTGATCAATACAGACAGGGCCACGGTTCCGATGCGGTATGTCCTCATGCACGATTCATGACCTTCTATGCTAATGCCAGTCCAGCGAGAAGATCTACTCCGAAGGCGGTATCCTAAGTGTAACATCCAGGATCCTAATAGTTGACTTTCTGTCGAGTTAGTGACACCCCTACTGCTGTTTGTGACGGCCGACCCTCCTAACCCGCTGTCTAGAGCTGCTCGACCCTGAGAAGGTCACTGGCATGGTCGTGCTTCATGCTGAAAAGTAAGCAACCATATCGGTGCTCCTAGAGAGGACATACTAAGAACAGACAGGATTGTGGCAACGTCGATTGAAGCCTTCATTATCCGGGCATATCGAGAACACAACAAACGTGGATTCCTGAAGGCCTTTTCCGACTCCCCGGAACCATTCACGACCGGATTTGCCCCTTTGGCGAATTCCCTGCGCAACCTCTTCCTTCGCAAGACTTCGTTATGGCCACGCTTCCATGTCACCGTTGCGGAGGCTCTCGAGGGCCATAGAAAAGCGGAGGTGATCGAACTTGAAGTCCCGATGAGTGATAAGATGCGCGAGATACAGAACGCCGTCCTTGAGTGCGTGGAGATTTGCATAGGGGAGCTAAAGAAAGCAAACACGGGGCTTGACATGGCAGACTGGACACTCGACAGTGCTTTACATAGGTCTTTTGATATTGCAATTAGGCGCCAACTGGATCCCATTTGGCACCGTGTGAGCTTCCGGACCAGACAGATCGTCAGTGACTTATCAGACCTTCGGGCAATTCTCCAGTGCGACCACCCATCTTCATGCTGTGCTTCATCAACTGACCTGAATCCTAGCGCTTTGCTCACCTATGACGCCGTCTCGTTCCTCAAATATCTTGATACGATTGTCACAGCACATACTCCGCCTCCTGGGTCTACGAAACATAGCTATTCACCATGGCTGTTCCTCGACGCAGCCGATGTGCTTTTTCAAACCGCGAGATCAAGAGTATATCAGGGGCGAATCAGCAACGATGTAGTTCGCTCATCATCCACATCTTTACCTACCACACTCCAGCCCGTTCTGGAAGAACAGCCAAAATGGGAAGTCGTAGCGGAGGTCCTGCAAGAAATTGAAACGGACGCATATCTCAATCCAGTCAATGTGGATGAGTCCAACAGCACTGTCTTGATCATGTGCAGTGACCAACGGACCTGTCGGCAGCTTCGCGAGTACATGGGCACGATGCATGCCAACGTGAGTAGCAAGAAGCAGGAAACAAGGGATACATTGGATCCAGGTGATGCCATCCACGAGAAGAAGGGCTCCGCTGAAGTCATGATGCGCCGAAGGCTGCGGGATTATATGGACTGGAAGTTATCCTTGTCTAATGTTAGCAAGAACTTTTCGTCAAACCCCGCGGGTGACGGTTCCCAGTCGCCTGCGGTGAATTCACCTGGTTCTCTGAATCAAGGAAGAGCCCCAATGAACAAGCGGCGCCGAGTCCGAGGAGGAGGCACTCCATCCGTTCCAGCACGCGCGCCCAACAGCGGTATCCAAGTAGATATTGAACCTCCGGCCCAGGTGTCGGCACTCCTAGATGAAATTCAGCCTACTGAGGTCGAAGAGACCCAAAAAGAGGAGGTCATCATCGATGACTTGGAAGATATGGATGATTATTACGAACTGTACGATATGGATGACTTGGTTATCATACACCCTTACGACGGTGATATGGATGAGCATATTCTGGAGGTTGTTCGGCCTCGGTACATCATCATGTACGAGCCAGACCCTGCATTCATTCGTCGAGTCGAGGTCTACCGCAGCTCCCATGTTGGGAGGGACGTACGCGTTTATTTCATCTACTACGGGGGATCTGTTGAAGAACAGCGCTACTTGAGCGCCGTACGGCGAGAGAAAGACTCGTTCACAAAGCTCATCAAAGAGAAAAGCGTAAGGCTCCTTTCCTTTGCTTCCCTCCTTCCACTAATCCGAGCCAACAGAACATGGCCGTCACCATCACGCATGACAAGAGTCAAGTAGACCCTCAAGAACAGTTCCTTCGCACCGTGAACACCCGCATCGCAGGAGGCGGCCGACTAGCCGCAACAGCATCACCACCCCGAGTCGTGATAGATGTACGCGAGTTCAGAAGCGCCCTTCCATCCCTCCTACATGGCAACAACATGATCGTCGTCCCATGCCAACTCACAGTGGGCGACTACATCCTCACGCCCGACATCTGCGTAGAACGCAAATCAGTCCGCGACCTGATAGCCTCCCTACGAAACGGCCGTCTCTACAACCAAGCAGAAACCATGCTCCAACACTACAAAAACCCCCTTCTTCTAATCGAATTCGACCAAAACAAATCCTTCACCTTCGACGCCTTCGCCTCCGCAACCACCCCCGGCACAACCTTTCTCACTGACTTCGGTTTCTCCTCCTCCGGCACAAGCACCCTATCCGCAAACAGCTCCCTCGTCAACCCATCTAGCCCCAAATCCGCCCAACACTTACTCGTTCTCCTAACCCTCACCTTCCCCCGGCTCAAGATCATCTGGTCTTCTTCCCCCTACCAGACAGCAGAGATCTTCGCCGAGCTGAAGAAGAACAACCCGGAGCCGGATCCAATTCGGGCTGTTCAGACCGGATTAGACATGGATATTGCGGCGTCGTCGCACTCCGGCGATATTATGGCTGCGGCGGGGATCGAGCATCGGGTCTTTAATCTCCTGCCTCAGGACATGCTCCGGGCGGTTCCGGGTGTTAATCCGAATGTCCTTGAGCGGTTGATTGTGGAGACGGAGAATATTCATGAGATCGCGAATATGAGCGTGGAGCAGTTGGATCCCTTGGTTGGGATAGAAACGGCTCGGAAGATAGTGGGGTTCTTTCGTAAGAGTGTGTTTGAAAGTTAAGGTGATGTATATATGTTCGATGTTGTTGAATACTACGAGAAGATAAAGATACGAAGCTACTCAATTCTACAAAAGAATATCGGTTGATTGTATATTCATATTCGTGACCCTTTCATAAATCTATCATCCAGTTTTGTCGAAAACGAAGAAGCGTAATGAAAAGGAATAGCGAATAAAAAACAGGGAGCAAACACAAGAATCGCTCACACGCCAGACCGTGCAGCCTTCTCGTACGCAGTAAGCCATCCTTCTGTAGCTAACCCGAGAACGCCCTCATGATGGAACACGAATATGTCCAGAAAACCGATGATCCCGCATCATAAAGAACATTCCCCGGCATTACCCCTGTTACTGATCCATACCCCGGATGACACGGAGCCGCACCGGGCGCAGCAAAGGCAGAACGCGCCTATGCGGAGCCGGGAGGTGCTGCCGCCCTGATTCCTTTACTCGAGATACCTTCACGGGAAAATCTCGACTAGCACACACACAGCATGCACAAGCCGTCCGAATTCTTTCCTTTCAAAGCAAGTAACAGCTTTTCTTCGGAAGAATACTCGGGGGAGATTCTTCCCATGAAGGTTTTTTTTAAGAAAACAAAGAGTTTTGACGAGTCGAGAAATAACAGAACCGAACCCAGTCGCTCCGGCAGGGATATGAGATCGTGCCCCTGAAAGGGACATTTAGAGCTCGTCGACATCGATCTCCTTCTCGTCTTCGCTCTCGCGGTCCTCGTCGAACTCGACGTTGTCCTCGAAGCCCTCGTGGCCGTAGGTGTCGGTCTCGTTGATCTTGGCGTGTTCGGGCAACTCGCCGTAGGCCTTCAGACTTCTGGCCTCATCGGCGGTGTACTTCATGATGACGTCGCCCTTTTCGTCTTGGTAGTCACGCAGCGAGAGAAGGATAATGTCACCCTGGTTGATCCAGACCTTCTTGCGGAGCTTGCCACGGATGTGAGCGAGACGCTTCTCGCCATCGAAGCAAAGTGCCTCGAGACGGCCGTTACCGAGCATCTTCACGACCTGCGCATACTCCTGACCTTCTTCCTTGAAGACGAGCTCACGCTTCTCGTTGTCGTTCTCGTTCTTTCCACGACGACGGTTCTTACCGCCCTGTTTGGTTAAGAAAACGTTAGCAAAAACTGTCCTAGACATGTGTATGAACGTGTGGCGCAGTTTCGCTTCATTCTCCGATGCTCTCTGAATATGGCAGCCTCTATGCCTTCCTTATCTCACATCTTCCTGGCTGGAAACGTGTTGTTGAGGTG